CCTACTTCCCTACAAGTTTTTCTAGGGAATACTTTCTAATAAATCACTTTCACACAAATACCTCATCTCTGAGTTTGCTTCCAATTTAAGATAACCACTAATGTTTGGGCTGCATTCTCTTTGATAATTTATTATTTTGGGGTGAGATTAGACTGAGGTTTTCTGTGCTATTTTTGGGGGCTCTGTCAGATATTGGTATCAAGCTTTTACATAAAAGAAGAATTGGTTAAGTTCTATTTAATTTTCTGGAATGACTTATGTAGCATAAAAATTATGTTTTTGGGAAGATTGAAGTATTTTATCCTGGAGAAACCTGGACCTTTTTGAAGTCTGGCTCTTTGACAACGTTCTTTATTTCCTCTGTGATTATTTGTCCATTTAGGTTTTATATCTTGAGTCAGATTTGATAATTTGCTTTTTTTTTTTTGTGAGGAAGATCAGCCCTGAGCTAACATCCACACTAATCCTCCTCTTTTTGCTGAGGAAGATCGGCTCTGAGCTAACATCTATTGCCAATCCTCCTCCTTTTTTTTTCCCCAAAGCCTCAGTAGATAGTTGTGTGTCATAGTTGCACATCCTTCTAGTTGCTGTATGTGGGACGCGGCCTCAGCATGGCCGGAGAAGCGGTGCGTCGGTGTGCGCCCAGGATCCGAACCCGGGCCGCCAGTAGCAGAGCGTGCACACTTAACCGCTAAGCTACAGGGCCGGCCCCCGATAATTTGCTTTTTTAGAGAAATGAGTTTCATTTAGGTTTACGTGTTTAATAGCTATTTGTTATATAATGTGTTCTCTTGTTTTTTCATTTTATCTATGAATGTGGGTATAGTTTGAATCTTGGTGTGAACTGTAAAAAAGATATTTGTGAGTTAATTGAGGCAATTTGATTATAGAAGACAGTTGGAGAAATTTGATTACAGCTGTGGGTTGGATGAGTTCAAAGAATTATTGTTATTTTTGGTAGACATTGATAATTTCGTTAGGCATTTTGTAAGAAAAAGTTCATATTTCCAGAGACGTATATTGAAGTGTGTAGAGATGAGATGACTTGATGTCTGGGATTTGCATTAAAATTTTGTAATCGAAGAAATAATAAATGAAGTAAATATAGCAAATTTTAAAATTATAATTCAATCTGTGTTATAGGTATGTGGGGGTTGGCTCACTGTTATACTTTTGTTTGTATTTGAAGATTTTTATAATTAAAGTTAAAAATACCAACTCTGAGTTACCCCTCTGATGAAATTAGAACACATACTTCTTAGCACATTCTCTCTCACCCTCCTCTCCATTTTCCTTCACAGGATATGCCTTTTCTGCCTAGGTTTCTTGTAGTTAAATTACTATTATCGTTTTATCCTATGTAGCTTTTCTTTCCAGGATAATAACATTTCTGCTTTGTTTCATAATTACCACACACAATTACTCCACAGTTCTATATTGGGAAGGATTACAACCTTTCGTGTTGTATGTTAACACTTTCATTGTGTGCTTGATTCATTTGTGAATTTTGAGGTGTTTGTTTTAATTTGGATTTAGCTCTTAGCTGAATTATATCTTTAAGTAGGTAGTGTATCAAGGGTATATGGATACTGAGTCCTTGCATATTTGAAAATGTCTTCCTATTATCTTGATTCTTGGATGACAACTTGCTGAATTTTTAAGTCTAAGGGCTTATGTTTTCCCCCTCAAAATGCTTGGGTTTTTGCAGCATTTCTTTTAGCGTATAATCTTATAGATGAGAAAGCTCCCTAGTATTTTTTTCCTTTGTAGTTCTGCCTAATATTTTGCCTTTGACTTGCTTGTTTTTCCTGGATACTTAGAGTTTGTTTTTTGTTTTTTTAAGAGTGAAGTTCAAGATGTCTCTCAGTACTGATCCATATATTAGGTTTGTCTGGGTTTTATATGAGACCTTTAAATAGTCAGATGTGTGGCTTCCATTTCAGTGCATTTTCTTTTATTATATCTGAGTTTTTTCTTATTTCATTTGTTCTGTTCTCTTTTGGGAAATAAATTCTCTCTGTTGGCTCTCCGTTGTCTTTCGTAACTATCATCTTCTCAATAATTGCTTTAATCTTTTCAGTTTCTAGGAGAATACATGGTCCTATGTAGCTTATGATTTTCTTCTTTATGGAGTAAGTGTTCAGGACGGTGCTTTTCACCTATCTTTTGCATCCTATGTTTAATTTTTTTTTCCACTGCAAGATTTTTATGTAAGTTCCATGTATTTCTGTTTATTCACTTTTAAATAGAATCAATTCTAGCTAGTCTTGCTTAAAAATTATGTAGATAGAAATGTTTTTTATTACCTTCCACATATAAACAATTGTTTTATGCACCATTTGGATCTTTCCTTTAAAATTTGAGCTAGAGATTTGTGCTGCTGCTGGCTGATAGTTTCTCTATAGCCGTTTAGCTACCTGAGAGAGGTGAATTGAGGAGCTGGGACCTTGGACAGCTGCGAGTAGGAATTTTGTTTCTGACTTGTTCTGTGATTTCTTTTAAGACTCTAGGAGGTAGAGGGGCTTTACTAGGTTGGGGGCATATCGTTCAAATTTGGTCATTTTCCCCATTTTGTCAGAGTGAATAGTTCACTTCGATAAGAAGTTGGGTTAGTTTTGTGAGTCAGAACATGTTTTTCTCTGCATAGTTACCTTTGATCCATAGTGACTGGCCACCATTTTATATTCCCACCAGCAATATATAGTGCTCTAGTTTCTCCACATCCTCATCACCATTTGGTGGTATCACTGTTTTTTATTTTTGCCATCCTTATGGGTATGTGGAGATATCTCATTTTAATTTTAATTTGCATTTTCCTAATGCAAATGATGTTGAACATTTTCTCATGTGCTTATTTGTCATCTGTACATCCTCTTCAGTGAAATGTCTGTTCAATCTTTTGTGCACTTTCTAATTGAATTTTTGTTCATTTTTCTGCTGCTAGTTTTGAGAGTTCTTTATATATTCTAAAGACAAGTTCTTTTGTTAGATATGTAGTTTGCAAATATTTTCTTCTGGTTTGTAGCTTGTTTTTTCAGTCTCAGTAGGGTCTTTCACAGAGCAGGTTTTTAATTTTAATGAAGTCCAGTTTATCAGTTTTTCCCTTTTGTAAATTGTGCTTTGGATGTCAAATCTAAAAATTCTTTGCCTACTTCTAAATCCTGAAGATTTTCCTACTGTTTTTTTGTGTGTGAGAGGAAGATCAGCCCTGAGCTAACATCCGATGCCAATCCTCCTCTTTTTTTGCTGAGGAAGATTGGCCCTGACCTAACATCGATGCCGATCTTCCTCCACTTTACATAGGACGCCGCCACAGCCGGGCTTTGACAAGTGGTGCGTGGGTGTGCACCCGGGATCCGAAACTGCAAACCCCGGGCCACTGAAGTGGAATGCAGCGCACTTAACTGCTTGTGCCACCGGGCTGGCCCCTCTGCTATATTTTTCCTGAAAGTTTTGTAGTTGTATGTTTTACATTTAAATCTATGATCCATTTTGAGTTAATTTTTGTATAAGGTGTGAGACTTAGGTCAAGGTTTATATTTTTGCCTAGGGATGTCCAGTACCTTTTATTGAAAGGTCTTATCTTTCTTCCACTCAATTACTTTTGTCTCTCTGTCAAAAATAAGTTGAACATATTTATGTGGGTCTGTTTCTGGGTTCTCTGTTCTGTTCAGTTGATCCGTGAGTCTGTCCCTCCACCAGTACTAAACAGTCTTGATGTCAGTCACTATGTGATGTCTTGAACTCAGGTAGATTGATTCCTCCCACTTTATTCTTCTTTCCAAAATTGTTGTAACTATTCCAGTTCCTTTGACTTAACATACAAATTTTAGAATGATCTTGTTTATCTACAAAAAATCTTGAAGGGATTTTGTTAGAAATTGCATTAAACCTGTGTATCAATTTGGGGAGAATTGATATTTTTCTATGTTAAGTCTTCTAACCCATGAACATGGTCTGTCTCTCCATTTATTTAGGTCTTGATTTTTTTCATCAGTATTATTTAGTTTTTAATCATACAAGTCTTGTACATAACTCCAATTGTTTTATGTTTTTCATAATCTTTTCCTTCAGAGGGATTATTTAGAGGAGGGGAGTCATGTTATAAATGTTTAGCTGACATTCAAATTTCATTTAGATTCATTTAATTTCCCTTTTTTCTATAAATTCAAGTAAATCAAACTTAATATGTTAAGTCTTTAAAATAGCATGACTAATATAATCCAAATTCTGTAAAATTATAGCAAAATAGTTAAGAATCTGAATTCTTGATTCATATCGCTGGTGTGACCCTGGGAGGGTTACTAACCTTCCTGTGTCCGAGTTCGTCTGTAAAATGGGATTAATTGTCCCTAGTTAATGGTTTACAGGTAATCCATCTAAAGCTCTTAATATAGGGCTCAAACGTTAGCTATAATTCTCTCTCCTTCCATCTCTATTATTTATATCTGTTATGATATCTGTAATCTGTAACATCTGTAACATAACCAGATGTTAATGATAGTTGTTTCTGGGTGATGGGATTTGGGATGATTTCTTTCTTCTTCCTACAATTCTGTATTGCTTGATTTTTTTTTTCTTTTTTTTTTTTTTTTACAATGAATTGTGCAAACCTGTCTCTTAAAAAATAAAGTAAAAATATAAATTTTAGTTGTCCCAGCACTTCTTTTGCATCTGAAATCTCAAATGTTGAGCCTGGAAATCTGTATGTTTAAAATGCTTCTCAAGTGATTCTGATTGAATCATATTTACCCATGTCCATGTTTACCCATGCCCTACCCCAGCAATGATTATCCTAGTTACTACTCATTTATTTTATTGACTTGTCCATAATTTTAGCAGCAAATAGAAGGATAAACTCATAAAGTGAAATACTCTTAGAATGTTCTCCTATATGGAAGGAATTAACTTTCAAGTACAGCTAAAATTATCAGACTTTTTACCCTTGGTATGTATATTGCTTTATAATTTGTAACATCCTGCTAATTTTTTTCTTACAGAAATACACTTTCGGGAAATGGCCCCTAAATCTTGGCTGAATTTTTTAACCTTCCTCTGTGGATCAGCAATTGGATTTGTTTTATGTTCTCAGCTATTTAGTATTTTATTAGAAGAACAAGTTGACACCCAGCCTAATATTCTTCATAATGATCCTCATGCTAGGCATTCAGATGATAATGGACAGAATCATCTAGAAGGACAGATGAACTTCAATGCAGATGCTAGCCAACATAAAGGTATGATTTATTTTATTAAGGAGTAAACATAAACAGTATTTTGCAGTCTATGTAAGTGTTGAGAGAATTAGAAATAGTTATTTATATGAATTTTGTTATATCACACTATATCTTTTGATGAAAATGAGCTTAATTCCAGATACTAAATGACAATTCTTGGGTTGCCTCAGGAGAAGGAAATTGCTAAGACCCAGATTTATTTAGGGGGTAAAGTATAAATTTTGAATTTATTTTTGATAGAAACAGTTCAAAAACTGTAATTTTGGAAAAGGCAAAACTTTTCAGATTAGACTTATTTCTGAAAATTTTCATTTAGTCTAATTTTGTTATCATGCTGTATATCTCTGTCTTTGGTTTTTGCTTTTGTCTTGTTTTGGTCTTAGTTTTTGCTTAGTCTTGTTTTTCTAGGGAAACTCAAAAGGTATAGATAAATCTCAGTTTATATTTTTATCAGGAGCTAATATAACTAATCTTTTCTCCTTTTGAGAGGTATAAAGTACTGGGGAAGTAGAGAACTAGGGATGTGTTATCGTGACCTCCCTTTCTGCTGGCTTCCTGTCTCTAACCACGTTTTCTCGATTGAGTCCTCTGTGTGCCCCTTACATATTGGTTTTCTCCAAGTTTCTGTCCTTTGGCTCTTTCTTTGCCTATGTGATATCATCAACCCCCATAATTTTAATTTCTATCTATTCCTTTCTGTCTTTATCTTCAGCCCAGTTCCAGACACTATGAGAAGACATTAACACAATTCACAGATCTCTGCAAATTGTGATTTATTTAACAGAAGAGAGTACAAACAGCTAGAAAACAATTGGAATTCTAGGATGCAGAGGGTCTTCATTAAGAGTTGTTTGTCTTATCTTTCTGGGAGTAAATTACTTCTTCCCTGCCTCAAGCAGAGGTTGAAGGGCCAGGTGACAAATCCTGGTTGAGTTTTATGAACTAGCAAGCACATGCATACTATTACAGATTATGTCGTGTTGTATGTTTATATAACAGTGATTCAGCTCTGAGCAGGTGCTCTGTGTTCTTATCATAGAGCAGTTTGATCACTGTGCACTTGCTTTGTAGCATCACTCCAGGTCTTCAAATGATCAGTTGGAACGAGGCGTCTACATATATTAGGCACCTACTTGTCCTGCTCCATGGTCCACGAAATGTAGGGTATGCTAAAAATCTGTCTATTTGTCTTAGATTTAACATGTGTAAATCAAATTCCTTTTCTTTTCTTTCCTACTCCTAAAACTTGCTCTTCTTCCTATATTCTTTATTTTATATAGCTCATTACCATCTGCCTAAGCCAGAAACTGTGAAGTCATGGTAGATGCTTTCCTTTGCTTACCAGTCAATCCCATTTGTCACTAAATTCCAGCAATTCTACTTCTTTACCATTTTTCAGATTTCTTCTCTCAATCCATAGTGCATTTTTCCTTTAGTTGTACTCATGTACCTGCATTCAACCAAACTTCACCATGTCTTCTGTTCTTTCTTCTAGTGAGTGTCCACTCATTTAAAGACCTTTTTTCTGTATCATCTCTTATTTTTCCTAGTATTGCTTTATCTCCCTTTCTCTGTTCTACTCAGGTTTCCATTCTGCTGCTTGATAGGATTTATCAGCTACTGCTTTCTTTTTCCTTAGCACATTGAACCCTTTGTACATACCTCCATTATAGCAACTCTTAGTACGTGGCAAGTATTGATTTGCATGCCAAGCTTCCTTACTACACTGTGAATTCTTCTGTAGCGGGACATTTGTCTTATTCATCTTTTCATCTTCTGTGCCAGTACATGCCTATACAAAGTAATTAATGAGTGCATAATTAAAAGAATGAGAAAGAATATCTACCAGATCACAGCAGTGGGGAGAAGGTTTTCTTGCTCTAAGTGAAACATATGGAGGCTTCCAGCATCCAGCATTTTCCTTATCCATCCAGGACTTGGTGTATCTGTATGTTGGAGATTGGGCTCTTCAAGTATATGAACCATGAATGCTCTCTGACTGACAATAGGGTAATTTTTGTCTATTTTGAGATTGTGTATTCTTGATATTCAGAGAGGCATGAGAATATTTTTATGCCTTTGCCCAACCTTCCCTTCTATTCCCTCTCAGTCAGTTAACTAGAAATTTATGCCTTCAGTTGTTCATTTTTCACAGGTCTGAGCTTTTGTAACTCACTGGTTGACCTTAACTTTAAGGATATGATTCCTCAGCATTCTGCCTAGAGTATCACTACACAGAGTGTGGTTTTGCAGGCTCTTGCTGGTCCACAACTAAATAAGTATTGAAATCAGGATTAAACTGAAACTTTTATGGTAATTTGACAGAGTAATTTTGTCTAAATCTAAAAATAAAAACTTTTGGGGGCTTGTATTTTTTATTTCTTTTTTTTATTTTATTTTTCTAAAGTATATGTCTCTAACTAATGAAAATAAAAATTGATTCTTCACCAAGCACTGATCTAGAATCTTATAATTAGACTCGTCCTCTAGACCAGTGTTACTCAAAATGTGGTCCTAGCCTGACAGCCTGTGTTTTGTTACCTATTTGTACCCAGATAACAAACTTGCCCCAGGATGTAAGTCAGTTAATTAAGCTCACTGCTTAGTTAAGTGGACTTTTTTGGGGGGTAGCAAGACTTCTTCGATGAAAAAAGTAGTATGTTGCTTTATATTCTGGCATAAATTCCTTATTTCTTTGCAAACTGGTACTTTGAAAAACAGTGCTCTAGACAATCTTGGAAATATTACCTCTGCCTGTTCTTCTGTTCTGTTTCTAACTGGTGGATCTGCATTTTGGAAGGAGGTATGTTACTATCAGAAGTAATCTCAACTCTACATTAACTCTTCTCTGAACTGGGGTCATGAAAGCCTTTGTAAAACCACTTCAGGGTGCTTATAGAAATTCATAACAGTGGACTTGTGTGAGCTTCACAGTGAACTGCCACTTCAGCAGCATGTCTTTCCTGCCCTTCAGAAGCTTATTCTGAGCAGTGAGAAATTCCTGTCAATGTTCTGTTGAGAAACAGCTGAAGCTTTCTTTGTAGAATAAAGTGAAAAACAGAGACTATATAAGGCAGTGCTTAATTTGTGTACGAATCACCAGGAGAACTTGTTAAAGTGCAGATTCTGATTCAGTTGGTTTGGGGTAGGGCCTGAGATGCTTCATTTCTAACAGGCTCCCAGATCTTGCTGATACTGTTTGGTCAATGAACCACAGTTCAAATAGTAAGAATTTAAGTCATAGTGACAACTCTTTTTAGCTCCAATGATCTCCTGGGTAAGATTGACATGAAACCAATCAGTCAGCATGTCAATTCATATTAGGTTGAGTTTTGATTTCTTTCAGCTAAATCACTAATTGTAGAGAGGTAAATAGAAGGGGGGGAGTCTTTGAAATTGTTTAAGAAAATATCTTCTTCAATATAATTTATTTGGATTTTACATCTATGTAAATATAACTTTAAAAAATTTTGTTTAATAGATGAGAACACAGACGTCGCTGAAAACCTCTATCAAAAGGTTAAAATTCTTTGCTGGGTTATGACAGGGCCTCAAAATCTAGAGAAAAAGGCCAAACATGTCAAAGCTACATGGGCCCAGCGTTGTAATAAAGTGTTGTTTATGAGTTCAGAAGAAAATAAAGACTTCCCTGCTGTGGGATTGAAAACCAGAGAAGGCAGAGACCAACTATACTGGAAAACAATTAAAGCTTTTCAGTATGTTCACGATCATTATTTAGAAGATGCTGATTGGTTTATGAAAGCAGATGATGATACGTATGTTATACTAGACAATTTGAGATGGCTTCTCTCAAAATACAATCCTGAAGAACCCATTTACTTTGGGAGAAGATTTAAGCCCTTTGTAAAGCAGGGCTACATGAGTGGAGGAGCAGGATATGTACTGAGCAAAGAAGCCTTGAAGAGATTTGTTGATGCATTTAAAACAGACAAATGTACACATAGCTCCTCCATTGAAGATTTAGCACTGGGGAGATGCATGGAAATTGTAAATGTAGAAGCAGGAGATTCCAGAGATCCCACTGGAAAAGAAACTTTTCATCCCTTTGTACCTGAACATCACTTAATCAAGAGTTATCTACCTAGAACCTTTTGGTACTGGAATTATAACTATTATCCTACTGTAGAGGTAAGTTTAGAAATTTTATTACTGTATAAGTACTTTTACTTTTGTTTACTTTTTTTAAAAAACTGGCTAATATGTGTTTCTTTAGTACCAATAACTAAGAATCTCCCTTAGTCTTTTTTTTTTCAATTATTTTATTGAGGTCATAATGATTTAACCCTTAGTTTTTTTATATAGAGTGGCAATTTAACAAAGTAGATGACAACAGGAGTGTCAGCAATAGTCATTCAACAAATACTAATACTACTGTGTGCTAGGCACTGAGAATATAGCATAAATATGGCCAAGTTCCAGTTCTCATGAACCTTACTTACCTTCTGGATGAGGAGACATACAATAAACAGGCAGACTAGTCAAGATATTATATGATTTTAGGTAGTAGTAAGTGCCCTGAAGAAAAATAAAGCCAGGTAAGGGGATGGAGAGTGACCTGCAGTGGAGTGGGGTACTCTAGTTTGGGTGATTAAGGAAGGCCTCTCTATGGGGAGACTCTCGGACAGAAACCTGAGTGAGGTTAGAGAGCAGGCTGTGTGACGATCTGGGTAAAGAGCCTTCTAGTCTTCAGGAACAACACATGAAAGGTCTTTCTGAACCTCAGTCTTATGTTCAAATCCTGCCCTTTCACTTAATAGTTGAATGACCTGGGGTGGACAGAATTTGCGCAACTTCTGAGCCTCGGTTTTCTTGTTTGTAAAATAGATCTAATCTACCTGTATCGTTCAGTTGTAATTACGGTATAGTACAGTGCCTATCATGCAGTAAGCACCTAATAAGCCTTAGCTTTCATTTTACACCTTAGCTGACAATCTTGAGAATTTTATCTAAAGTGTATTATTTTATTAAATATTTCAGATGTACAGATATTTGAGAAGAATATAATATTTTGTACCCACCAACCAGCTTTGCCAAATATTAACGTTTTGCCCCATTTGCTTCAGATTGTTTTAAAGAAGAAAGTATAGATATAGTTGAGGCCTGTGTACCCTCCCCAATCCAGTGCTCTTACCTCCTTCTTCAGAGTTAACCACTCTCAGGAATTTAATATTTATCATTACCATGCATGTTTTTATATTTTTACCTACATGTTTATGTACCCCTAAATAATATATTGTTTTGCAGGTTTTTAAATAAATGGAATTTTACCATATGTATCCTTGTACCATTTGCCCTTTTCACACATTAAAATTTATTAACATTAATGTATCTGTTTCATTACTTTAGACTGCTGTGTAATAGTCTAATGTATGAATAAACTATAATTTATCTGTTCTCCTGCTGATATACATTTGGTAGATTGTTGCTAAGTTTTTCACTATTATGAGCATTGCAGCAATGAATGGCTGAGGGAGACCAGGAATCTCGAAACCTAGCTTTTAGACTCAGATCTGTTATTGATTAATAATGCCTTTAGGGAAGTCACTAGTACTCTATGCATTCTTTTCTCTGGTCCTAAGATACAAATAAGACACTTCATGCTACCATTCTCTTCTTTACAAGCCATTGTTTTCAAATCATCATCTAGAACAGTGGTTCTCAACTGGGGGCAATTTTGCCTCCCAAGGGACTTCTGGCAAAGTCTGGAGACATATTTGGTTGTTACAGCTGGGAGGTTGCTACTGGCATCTAGTGTATAGAAACCCACTAGAAACCCACAGGTTTCTGCCCACTAGATGCTAAACATTCCACAATGCAAAAGACAGCCCCCCCCACAGCAAAGAATTATTTGGCTCAAGATATCAGTAGCACGGGGGTTAACAAACCTTGACCTAGAACATGTGACCCAAGCTTTAGGTAATCCACTTTAAAAAGATACTTTGAAGCAAATCACGACTGCTTCTGCTGTCAGTCACCAGTGTGTTCCTGGTACTTATACAGGTACGATAGCTAATCCTTAGAGTAATTCTGCATTTAATAGGTGACAAAACTGAGGCTCAGGAAAGTCAGATAACTTGCCTATCCTGATAAGTAGTGTACACAGTATTGCAAATCACTCTGATTCTCAAAGCTCTTGTCACTTCCATCATGAGCTCTCCTCTACAATTAATGGGATATGTGCCCGAAGAAGGGGGTTAGGAGGATATGTTAGAATAAATATTCTGTTGTTGGAATAGAATTCCACTTAAATAAGAAAACATTTTAAAGTTCAGTTCTATATAATTAAGCTGTTTGAACCCTTATGCTAACATTTTATTGCTATTGTAGATGCAACAATTTCCTAGACTATAAAACAAATGTATTCCCGTCTGCCTTTTGATAGTCTATTTTTGTTTTGTTTTAATGACATACTACTTTGAATGCTTTTTGTTATAGCCTTCATAGCAGTGATTAATTCATTATAAATGCTCTTTAAAAAGTTATACATTCAATCCTCAGAAACCTCTTAGTAAAAGGAAAACGTTTTTTTTTTTTTTTTCTCGCTGGGAACTAATGGTGAGTGGATAATATTGGGTTTTGAATGCTTTTCTGATGTAAACTTTTCTTAGTATATTCTGACGCTTCCAAGATTACTTGACCTCTTCCCTTCCCATACGAAATTATACCCAAACTTAAGAACATTACAAATGCATATAGCAAATACACCTGAATGCATATAAGATTTTACTGAGGGTATCTGATATTGGGTACACATGTAATGATAGCAAAGGGACATCATAATTGTCATTATTGTGTAACCAGTAAAATAACCTTCTTTCCTTTTAAGAGTACTGCCCACAAACCTACAAATAGAGTATACCTAACAGTATGCTTTATATAAACAAAATAAATATTTCTATAGTGCATCTTTTATTTAAATTATAATGGTTTTTAAAATGGATGGCAAAATTTATGTTCTTTCTATAAAATTTGTTCTTTCTATAAAATTTATTCAGTTATATTGAAGACTATAGAATAGACATAGAAGTACCAAAATTGACCCAACTTCTAATGTTGCCTCTTCTCTTTCAGGAACTTCTATATAAACCCAATGTGAAGTCAAACTTCTATTATTACTCATCCATAATTTAATAAATTTTCGTCTCCCTAAGTGAGTTACTATTTTCAAAGCGATCCTAAATTTTGTAAATACACTTTTTTTCTACAGTAATCACTAGAAATACAGTGTAGAAAAATTTTACCTAGCAAGTTAGGGTGTGAGATGTTCTAGTTGATCAAAGAATTACATAATTGGTTCGTAAGTTGTTTAGAACTTACTCTTCATATAGTTCCCTTCTCACAACACCTTCTCACTTCCCTAGGAGTGAGTCTGTTCCCTAAGAATAAAGTCTAACCAAAGAATTTGCAGGCTTAATACAGTGGATTTAAAATAGATGTATAATTATTTATATATACATAAATCATATGTATCCCTCTACATGTGAAATTGCCTTTTTCGTAGGTCAGAAATGATCAAATACGATTTATTCTATTCTTTGGTTTTATTAACATTAACTGTAATCCATCTGAAACTTACTGGTATATGGTTGAGGTAGAGAGCTCCTGGTTTTTCCAAAGTAACTAGTTTCTCCAGTACCATTTTTAATTGAGTCTTACTTTCATTACTGATTTAAAATACCTCCTTTATCATACATATAGCATTACTTCTAGTAGGATCGGTATCTCAGATTTCAGTTTTGCTCCATTGTTCTATTTGGTTTTGGCTCAGCACCATATTGTTTTGAACCTTGTAGCTTTACAAAATTTTTAAGTTACTAATCTAGGAGTGTGTATTTCTCTCCTTTATTTCTCTCTCTCTCTTTCTTTCTGAATGTTTTGGCAACTCTCATGTCTTTATCCGTGTATAAATTTATTAATTTAGGGACAATAGATATCTTTGCCCAGGATTTTTTAAGTTATCTTTTAGGTCTCTTAGTAAAGTTTTATAGTTTTCTTCAGACCTTTATTTCTTCTTCAGTATCTCCCTAGGTATTTAATATTTTTGTCACTATTCTATTTGGGCTCTTTCTTAAAACTTTTTAACTGGTATATAGGAAAGCTGTTGTTTTTTTTAAAGTATCTTTAAAATCTGACCCTGTTCTTGGATTCTTTGTTTCTGATGATTTTTCACTTAACACTCTTGAGTTTTTGGTGTAATCATAATCATATGCAAAGAACTATTTTGTTTCTAATAATTATAGCTGTTTTATTGTCTTTTATTGCTTATAATGCTTAATAATAACAGTATCCTAGCCATCCAGTAAAAAAGCAATAATGCAAATAGAGTGTAACATAATTAAGGCAGTAAATCTTATTAAAAATATTATTGCAATATTTCAAGTCATATAAAATTGCTTCCAGAGAGGATCAGCAATTTAAAATTAACTGCTATTGTTCTAGTCTTTTAGTTTAATATGCACTGGCCAGTATAGTATCCACTAACCACATATGACTATTGAGCACTTGAAATGTGGCTAGTCGAAATTGAGATGTGCTGAAAGTATAAAATTCTCACCTGATTCAAGGACGTAGCACAAATAAAAAGAATTATTTTGTTAATAATTTTTAAAATATTGATTGTATATTGAAAAATAATATGGATTTATTCAGTTAAATAAAATATCTTCAAATTAATTTCACTTATTTTTACTTTTTAAATGTGGCTACTAGAAAGTTTTAAACTGTGTTATGTGGCTCACATATATCTATTAGACAAAACTGATTTAGATAATCACAACTTATCTGTTTACTTTTCGTATTTGTTTCTATTCTTATATTCCCTAAAGGTGTAAAAATTAGGCACCAGGTAATTTTCCAGTGCCTACATAGTTGTTCAGGAATCCCACATACCCTGTGTTTGTTTCAAAGGAAAATTCAGAGAGAAGGCCAGAGAAAATACACTGGACAATTTCTTGGTAATTTTTACTGCACTGTAAGCTACACACTTCCAAACATGAATTATTAAATGTTCAATTTAATAGGTCAGTATCAATCTTCTCTGGGAACTTTCTAGATTATCTTTCTCCTTGCGTCCTTGCAAAGACATTAGATAGAGTCTGAAGTTTTTTTGGAGTCATCTGGGTAGAACAGTCTCCAGACACCAATTCTGACCCCAAAATGACCCAGTGGCTGTTTAATTCTGGGACCAGGTTTTTTTTGTTTGTTTTCTCTATTACTTTTTCATTCCTGTTTGTTGTATTTTTGTTGTTATTTTGTTTTTGTCTTTTTTAAACCTGTTCTCATACCAACTCTTTTAGGAATCTTTGAGAATTATCTAACTGAACAAAGGTTTAACTCTGACCTGCTTACTGAGAGCCACCTGAATGTGGTTATTCTGTCAATAAAAGCTAACATTTATTGATCATTTACATGGGCAAAGCATGGTCCCAGGCGTTTTATGCACGTTGTCTCCTTTAAGTAACCATCTTTTGCACATGGGGAAATTGAACCTTATAGAGATTAAATAACTTGTCCAAGGTCATACACTAGTTGGCAAAATTTAGATTCAGGCCTGGGTTTAACTCAGCACTTGCCTCTCAAATACTGTACCGTTGGGTTGAGATGAAGTATTAGGGTGCAGGCACATAATGGGCAAGGCTTTGTAGTCACTGAATGCTCCAAAGGTGTCTTTCTGAGGCTGAGTCAAGCAAAAATTTATAGTGAGAAAATTATGCAGAGAAAGCAAAACTTGGAGAAATGGAGCTTTATCTTTTGTATAACTGCCTCTTTCATTTGAAGAAGTCTCAAGACTTTTTCTGCTAAAACACTCTAGAGTGTGAGAGAATATTATTTCAGTTAGAAATACTTGAGCAATTTCATGTTTGGTTTTAAATCATTTGGAACTCTAAAAACTCTTGGTTTCTTCCACAGGTTGAATAAAGTAGATGCCTCTGCTTTACTTTGCCAGCTTTGATACTAGATTCTCTTAAAATTAGTATTTCCTTTATCAGTATGTGAATATTGTATGTTAGCAATGTGCTATTTATTAATGATGCCTATTTCCGCTACTTTTTTAGGGTCCTGGTTGCTGTTCTGATCTTGCAGTTTCTTTTCACTATGTTGATCCTACAACTATGTATGAGTTAGAATACCTCGTTTATCATCTTCGTCCATATGGTTATTTATACAGATATCAACCTGCCTTACCTGAGAATATACTAAAGGAAATAAGTCGAGAATACAAAAAAGAAGATCCAAAAGTGAAATTGGAAAACCTCGAAAGAAAAACAAATGAACAGAGGTAAAATGTCTAGCACTGCACTGAAGAAGAACTTCTGCATTTCTGATATAGAACACTGGAATCTCAGTGAGGAATTCTAAGTGAACATTCCGTATTAGAGATCTTTCATATGAATGACTGTAAACTGAAGCTTTAAGTGAGCTGTGAAGTCTGTTAAAATGTTTTGATACAGTAATATATATATGAAAAATATGTGTTTTTAAAATGGTGGCCAGGCAGAGGGACTAGAAAAGAGATTTTGTTGCCTGTTCCTGACCACATGTATTATTGTCACTGAGAAACTAAAACAGTTAAATTTGCTAAAACTACACTGCACCATGTTAGTAACACACACATGATGCTAAACAGATCTGCCTTAAAGAAAATTTTAGAAGGAAATACTGTTGCTCGGTGTTGTTCATAAACTCAAGACATGAGTTTATATTTACAGTGTGATATAAATGAACCAAACTCCTCCCACATTCACATGCAGTTTTTGTCTAATGAAAATTTAGCTGTTCATGATTGGCAGTATTTCTTCCAGAAGAAGGTAGACTAAGAATGGCACGTGTCCTAAAGTGCATTAATAAAACCACATTTTGAAATTGTCATGGGCCTTGACTGTATTATATACTTGTTCTAATTAGTAGTTAATCTTGTACTGAATCTCGGTTGTCTCTTTTCTAAATATGTTTAACCATTCTTGAATACCATTCTCAACTATTAATATTTATTTACTCAAAGCATTAATAGCATTCTATAAACATGCATTTTTAAATATTGTGTTCCCAAATTTACCCATTGTTAATTATGGGTAACTAATAAATAGTAAATTTAATGCTATTTGGCAATGCTTTTGTTATATCACTGCCATTCTCAGGAATTACTAAGTGACATTTTTAATTATTTAAAACTCTTTCCAGCTACATAATTATAGTTTCTTTCATTCTCATCCTGTTGAGAGATGAGAATTTGTTTGTGCCTTTCATAACTTGTTTAAAGCAGTTTTGAAATTCATTTTTAGGATCTGAGGTGGCTATTAGTTACACTGGCAGAATCATTTGAATGCAAGATTTTGATCAGAGTTAATTAAAAACATCAGAAAATGCAGAGTCCTTAAACTCAATATGTCAGGTGTTAAAAGATATTGAAATAATTTATAAAGAGCCTGAATTTTGATGCTGACTTACTATTTGGAGATGATTGTTTTGCCAATGGATAATTCTAACAGAGCAGAGTACCCATTCAAGACTGTCATCAAAAACACATTCATAAATATTTTGTTTTCATTTTAGTGACCCTCTATTTAAACAGTTTCTAAAAGGAAAGAATTTTAAATTTTTGTTGTCTTTAGCAATATTATTTGAGTGTATCGTTAACAAAATATTTTACAGACTTTCGGTAAGATTATCTTAACTGTTATAAGAGATTTACATTTCTCTTATATTTATGATTATGCTAGTTTTACATGGCTGTCACACCGTTGACTCTGCTGCTTAGCTAAATAGTTACGTTTGTTGTGCCAAAACATGTCAAAACCACGTCCTCTTTGGATGGTGTATTTGAGAGGATGTTCATCTTAGTCACTAATTGTGGGCTACTTTGTCTGCATAGTGAAAGCTCACACCATTTTTACTATTAAATTGTTTTTTGTTGTTTTCACGGCTGTATCATCTGCCAAAATTTTAAGGCATTCATTCTATTCTTTGAACAACTGTTCGCCTTGGTGTGGATATTAATTTCTTTGCAGTCCATATATGCAACTTTTTTGTACTATGTATAAATGATTTGTCATAAACATCCAAAAAACCTTAAAATTTACACATAGGAAATTAACATTGTGATGACTCCTGGTGTCTGGAGTCAGACTGCTTGGGTTTAAATTCTTGCTCCATCACTTACTAGTTTTGTAACCTTGAGGAATTTACTTTAATCTCTCTGTGCCTCAATTTCCTCATCTGTAAATTAGGGACAATAATACTACCTACCTCACAGGATTTTTTTGAGGATTAAATAAGTGAATATATGTACAGCTTTTAGAACAGTGTCTGGCCCAGAGTATGGAGCAATTAGTATAAGGTTTTATTGTTATTCTGTTACCTTGGGGTGTAAATATTTGTTTTAAATGAATGAAAAATCTGCTCTAATCAAATCAGATCTTGAAGGAAATATTTCATACATTTCTTATAATAAGTAATAGCTAGTTTTTCTCTGATGCCTACTGTATGCCAGATACTGTGCTTAGATACTCTGTGTACATTAGTGTTAATCCTCACAAATTGAGTGTTATTCCTGTATTACAAATGAGAAAACTGAGGCTCAGAGAATTAAAGTAACTCTTCTGCTGTCACAATGCTGGTAAGTGACAGAGCTAGGATTTATACTAAAAGCCTGTTTGTTCTCTGTACCATGTCAGCCTTGAGGGTTAGTTATTTAGCATTATTTCCATTTTTACTTATTGACATGTGACATCTGATACACTGGCCAGTAATAGTCAAAGTAATCAGCCAAATTGTTGTAGGGGTTCTCAGATTTTGTTCTTATACTCTTGCTTGGGAGCTTGTTAAAATGCAGATTTCAAGACCCCGATTTCAGAAATTCTGATTCTAGCATGGGGCCCAGGAATATGCATTCTTACCAGATATCACTGGGCAGTGGTTCTTAAAGTCTGGTCCCAACTAGCAATATCAGCATCACCTGGGAACTTATGGGAACTGCAACCTCTCCTGGGCCCCACGCCAGACCTGCTGAATCACAAACTCTAGGGACGGAGGGTAGCAGTTATGTTTAAAAAGTCCTTCAAAAGTGAGTCTTGTTCATGCTAGTTTGAGAACCATTGTCCTAAGGCCTAGGTGATTCTGATGGCAAATGATCCTTGGAACATGCTGAGGATTACTGCCCCATAAGTAAAGTGTCTTTCAAAGATTTAGATAAAGCATGTTTAGATAAAGCATGTAGATCACACTACATTAAATGTGAAAGACTTCAAAGATAAAGAGTCAGTGGATCCATCATTTTGGCAAAATTCTTTAGCTTCTTCAGAGTGACTAATATCAGGGCCCACAGTAACATCTGTAATTCTCCGACTTTAGTAATTTCCCATTTGGGCAGGAAGGGTTCATTAAGTACTAGTAAGTACATACTAATTCATTAAAAGTATACCTAAATAAGTGTCATCAAAAATGTTCACAATTGTTAGTAAAAAATTTTAAATAGAGGTAGCAAAATACTATATTATAATATGCAGAATGTTTTTCTGCTAATGCATATTATCAAAATTTCATCACTTTCAAGAATCAGTTGATTGTCTTATATGACCTATAAGCAAAAAATTCTCCAAATATTTGATAGAGCATATAAAAGCAATTTTTGTGATCATAATGACTGACTTACCATCTTTTAATTTAAGATCTTTGTCATTTGGATAAGTGATTTTAGTTTGGTCTCAAAATATAGGGCTTTGGCTAGCATATGTTCTCTAATAACAATATACTGGTATTTTCAAATGGGAAGTTCATTGATGATAGCAGATTTTTGTCTCAGAGTTTAATTATTTGTTTTCAAATACCTTAAATTTTAGAAGAGTTTTTGTTTCTGTAAGAAGATTCTAAAATAAATCACTGACTAGTTTTTAATATTTTCTGAAATATGGTAATTGGATTTGAACATTAAATTTGCTTACTGGTTATTGTCATAATTGTTTCTTGAGTATTTTTCACTTCCTTGAGCCTATTAAGCTATATTATTACCAGATTGAGGCTTGAAAGATCCCTTGCTTGATTGATTAGATCAAGTCCATCCTTTTATTCATTTAAATTTTCCGTTCATTAGTGTATCCTTTGACAATTTCTGCTTCTTTGTATTTATTGCCCTTCTTTATTTCCTTTCTAGTTAATTTCCATTTTCCAACTACTCTTAATGCTGCCTTCACAAGGTTAATTTGGCTGTCATTAGTGATTACAATTTATATCTCTTACTGATGATTTTATACCTATTAACTTTAGGTTTCCCTGTGAGTTTGGAAGCAAAAATCTAATAATAATGCCTTCTGCCTCTCAGGATACTTGCCCTACTTAAAAATCTACAATTTTAAACTAATGCTAGATATACAATTATTAAATGAAGTAAAGTTATTTGGATTCCATCACTCTCCTCCCCCTGCCCCCTTTTTCTCAAAGACAAACAAAAAAAACGCATTTGCCTCATTTCTCTCCTTCTTTATAGTAGGCCTGACAGAAACATACTTAAGAAATCTGGGGGACAACCTGTGGTTTCTTGTATTCTAAATATAACCTCTATTGATTAAAAAAAAATGACTTATGTTTATATATTAGAGTTGAAATAGAAATTAATACAAATTAGAATAAGAAATTTTACGAATTCTCTTTAGAGAAACCACTCTAAAACTAGTTTAGAGTTATAGTACTCTATTTCAACTCCTTTACCTCCCTAGTTTTCAGTTTATATCAATTAAGTTTAAATAACTTTGCAGGGCCGTGCAAATTAATAATCCATATAAAATATTAAGGGAAACTAATCTTACTGCTAAGCAGTGTGTTATATTACACAGTGAATGTTTGTGTTTTGGAATTTTAATATTATGTAAGGTAATGGTATCATGAATGGTTTAAAAATGTCTGGTGACTTGCTTATTTTAAGTGATCACCAGTAAGTCAGAAAAATGTATTTTTAAATGTTTTTTAAAGTGCCTTTTGAACATTTTTAAACAATGGATTTAAATAACTGCATAAAATAAATTACCATGTTTAAAGCTGTTTTATCTGATTATTTTTAACTGATGTAAAAGTTGCCACAGAAACATTGTCTCTTATGGGTAGTTTGGGATTATTTTACCAAAAATATTTTAAATTGTTTTCCCATCAGTGTTCTTTAATTTGAATAGGCTTAAATAATTTTTGCTGCAGTGTATATTATTTTTCTTAAAGCAACAAATATTCCACCTCTGATTTTGAATAATGTACCTTAAAAAAATTAGAAACACCTACTCTGTAGTCCCAGTAAGTGTGTGTGTGTGTAGGTATGTGTATAGAGAGAGAGAGAAAGAAAGAGGTTGCTTTTCTATTTTTTGGTATATTTTGATCTATCATGTACACTGAGAAATTCATTTATTCAACTAATTTTTTATTCAAACAATTGTGCCCATTTTTAGCATCTACTAGAAATACAATGGTGAGCAAGACATACGGGATTCCTGTTTTAATAGAGCCTTCATTCTGTAGCTAGACAATAAACAAGTTAATAGATGAATGAAAAAGATATTTCAGAGAGTGGTGTTAGGAAAATAAAACAGAGTGATATGATAGAGCAATTTTCTGGATGGAGTGTCAAAGAAGTCTTCTGAGGAAGTAATATTTGAGCTGAGAGCTGAATGACACACATCTTATATACTTCAAAAGTTATTTATATCTGTGAAGTTCTTTGCTCCTACTATGTAAAAAAAAAAAAATAAAGTTTCCACCTTTGCTTAATCATGCTTCGGGCATATGTGAAGGTTTACTGAAATGCAATGTGTAGGCCAAAAGCTTTGAGTTTTTAAGCATATTTCACCCAGAGCTCAGGTCTGTTGATACTAGATCAGTCTAGGAT